TTTTTCCTAATATGTTTTGCATTAGACCAACACCCAGCTGTCATTCATATACTGCTTTCATTCATATACTGCTTTGTCCTTTAAAAAAAACCACAAACAAGTACTGTTAATAAAAGATGACTTCTTGCTCTTAAGAACACACAGTTACTGTTTTTGTGAAATGCTGACGTTTCCTGGCTGGTACCTAAATGGATGCTCAAGAGGACCTGTGTGCATGCCTATATAGCTGAAATCCCTTTAGGAAGTGGTGGGGAGGGCAGAAAGAAAAATCCGCCTGTTGTTCCTTCAGAGCTGATAACAAGCAACTAAATCAAATATTTATTTCATTAGGCAGAGCTTTTTAGCCTCCCACAAGGTGTTACGTACAAGCTAATCTGGGCTACCTGAAGATAAGATGGGAGGGCCAAGACCTCAAGTAAAGACATGGAGTGCCAAACCTAACTTAGAGTTTCCTAAGTAGTTAACTACAGTTTCTGAAGTAGGCCCTAAATAGACAGCTAAATAGACATAAGAGCTCTTGGGTTTGGACGCTTCCATTCCAGAAGCTGCTAATTGCCCTCCCCTGCCTGCTGCTGATGACTGCTGACAAGAACCACAGTGGCCAACATGTCCTGCTGTTCTCTGGTAATGAGACCTTGCTCCTTGGGTCCAGAAAATGTAATAGAAAGCATCATTGCAGAACCTGCCGGGGCAGAAGCATAAGCAATAAAAAATTAGGTGCAGAATGAAAATACAGGACATCTTTGCAGATGTAAAACATCATTTAAATCAGTGGACTCTGGGGTATTGAAGGGAGCTCAGCTGCCCACTTTTCCATTGCTTTAGTAACTAGAAGTAAGCTGTGCTGTGAGGCAGCCGAGCAGGCCGGTGAAGATGAGTTTTGGGCAGTACCTCTGCTAGTCATAGTTTTCAGATACAGGTTCATAGTCTCCAGTGGATCTTGCATCTAAAGGGTGTTTGTCACAAAATGTGACTCTTAAAAGCACTTAAAAAAGGTGTTTGTGTCAAGAAAAATACTCAGTATTTCAAATGGAAGGTAGAGGTGGAAAACATTTCCACATTTCCACACACTTCCTACAGCTTTTGTTGTTTCCTTGGAAAAACAGCAGCATCCTGATTTCTAGATATTCACCTTCTATCCATTCCTCTTATATGACCCTGTTGATTTAAAAAACTATAGTTAGTCTAAATTATGACCTGCATCATACTCTTGGTGAGGATCTAAGATAACGACAGGACCTTCTCTGCCAAGTAGTCAGATTTTTTGTTTTGTCACTCAAATATGTGGGTACTGTTTGATTCTTCCCCTGTGATACAGAGGCAGAGAGGGGAGCAAAGAAGATGCCAGTTAGCACTGCCATGGGGACATGGAAAGTACTGTAATTAACAGCATCAACAGCAAATGCCGTCTCAATTTAGCGGTGTCCTGCTGGGATGTTTCTCTGAGTTCTCTGAGTCGTAATACCTCCTGATGTTGCTGCTTTCTTCCCGTGTCCAAACCTACGTGGAGAGGTTTAATCTGGCTCAAAGTAGAGTTTCTTTGGCACTGGATCAAAGAGGGGGAAATGAGTTAAACCTCAGCCTGCTCAAACCTGTGTGTTGAGGAGGTAACATGGAAGGGAAGTGAGCTGGATTAACCTGGTATATAGGTGGAATTGATAGCTCGTTCAACTAGAGCTTCTCCCGGCATGCGTGGGATGAGATCCTGCCTCTGAATTAGTGTTGTTATTAACAGCACTGGCTCAGTTTTAGAAGGCAACATCTGAAAATCATGCAGGGGAGCTGGCTGAGCTCTTAATTAGCTGCAGAAAGGTGCATCAGAAATACAGCCGCGCAGGGCGTGATGTCTGGTGACTTCTTGCAGCGTTATTCCGTACAGTTCGTTTTGTGCCCTTCTGTAGTTAATGAGATACGAGGGCCTTGACGTTGACCCTGTGTTGTGTTAGGGCATGGAGCAATTTGTTACGTGTTTGTATATCCCACTTTCATTTTTGTTTTCTTAGAATGAGCTGGAAACTATGTAAAGGGCTCTCAGAAAATGATGGTTGATGGTAAGCACTGTCATATAGTTAAGCAATCATTTTCTTCTATTTTCTTCTTCTTCCCACCATTTTACAAATATATCTAATAGCAACAGAGAGAGGAATTTCCAAATTCATTGAGGTGGTTTTTTGTTTATTTCTCAAATGTATAGCTTTGCAAAGTTGTTTTGCGGAGATTACTGCAGTTCCTGCAGTGAAAGTTTGCAGTTATTCAACTAGTTTGCAGTCCTTAAATGTCCTAGATCTGTTGCTACAGAAGTGGGAGGAGAAAATTTTGCAGCAGAACGTCCTGTATTCTTGTAAGGACCATTCTCTGTATTTAAAGTAAAACCTATGTCTTTCTGGGTCTGTGTTAATGAATTCCTACAAAACTGTATGATTTTAGTTTAGGCAGAATTTTTGGCAAGACAGGATTTTGGGGGGGGTTGTCCATCTTGAGGAATGCCTCAAGATGAAAGAGTTCTAAAATCAGAGGCCAGTCTTTATCAGGCCATTCATCAGTTACCTACTCTGAATGCTATAAATGTAAATCCTTTCCAGAAACAGTTTCATTCACACTGGAGAGGCTGTTTGTCAAGTCTTCCGTAGGGTATACTTGTTACCGTAGCAACCTGCAGGGGTTAAAAGGGTGTCTAGGAGAGAACAACGTTACAGATCCCACAAGGTCATTTTGTTTTCCCCTAATGACAGAGAATATCTCCTAGCAGGAGGAGCAGTTTCTTCTTTTCCGTGTGATGCAAAATACCATTACAGAATTTCAAATTACTGAATGACACTTGACTGGAATTTGAACGGGTACTACCCAGCTTACTAATTGAATATCTGTTTGCAAGTCTCTTGTAATTTTGCACCCATGGGAGAGAGGAACCAAAAAGGACTTTTTCTAGCCCTAGCAGAAATGAAAATTGGGATTCAACTTGCAAAGCCAAAGTTGTGTTCTTCCCCTCCTAGAGATCAGAATGAGGATGAGTACAAGAGAGGGCCAAGGGAAAAATTTGTTCCAGCTTTGAATTTTACTTCCATTTATTTCATAAAACATCGGTCCTATTTCCATAAAATTGAAGTTAGCCTATTTCTTCAAAAAATTTTTTGTTTCATTTTTAGAGATTGCACTTACTCAGCACCATCTAGTGGACCGACTGCTATTGTCATTTAGAATACAGCTGGTCTTCGTAAACCATACAGCAAATTAGAGCATGCAGTCCTTATAGTGTGACTGATGTACCTAAAGTATGTTTGTGACTCTGTAACAGAATCAGAAGAAGATCAGCAGTTGTTTAGTTGAAAAGGAGCGGTGTGAAGGAAAGAAAGTTTAAGATATGTGCGGGTAGTGGTGCCTGTTACCTCCTGCATTCCTTTAGTTCTGAGCTCCAGCCTGCTTCTCTGCCTTACCACGTGATGCCGTCTAGGTTGTAAGCTTCTCTAAGGCAGGGTTCTGGAATACGGTTTCTTTGTGCAGTACCACACAGCACAAATCACAGCCTGATTGTCACTGTGATACAAATGATAAATACGAGCTGGTGCTAACAGTGAGCTCCGAAGTCCTCACCTGAGAAAAATGCTCTGGAGTCTGATTTAAATTGTAGGCAAGGAATTCAGTGTTTGGCTTTTTAAAAATACATGATTTTATTTAAAGGAAAAAAAAAAATCCCTTGGGAAGACCTCCCTATAGAGTGTGCATGTGCAGAAAGCAAGAGAATTGTCAGGTCATCCCAGTGGCTGCCTGGGGAGTCTTCCTAAAACAAGGGGTCTGTGGCTCCGGTCTTTTGGGGGTGTATGGGAACAGGTTTGCTTTTTCCAGTTCTAGCAAGAAGGGCTGAATCTCTGGAAAAATGAACGTCTCTAGAAGCCTGGGTGTTTTTGCAGCCCTGGCTACATCACCAGCAGCCTACTGCTCTCTCTTAAATAAGGTTTCTTTGGCAGCAAGCCTTTGATTTCGTAGCTCCAGTTGCAAATGAAGGGAGAGCAAAGAGGGGAGATCCTGAGTCTCTGGGCAGAAGACCCTGACAAAAGCTGCAGATGTGTGGGTGAGAGCAGGCAGCCAGTGCACTTGCTCAGTGACAGCAGGCAAGCACCTCAGGCAAAACCTCCCTCCAGCGTAAGGAGCAGCGAGCATCATCGAGAACAGGGGGAACTACAGAAAATAGCAGCAAAGCAAAATTGCATTATAGCGAATGCACCAAGCTGTAACATCTCCCCCTTTAAACTTCCTTGCGTTTTAACATTTCATCACTTTAGGGGCTATTGGTTTTGTTCAATTCACATGTTTTGGACAATGACAATAAGTGGGTCAGTTCTATTCTGTAAATTTGTATGCATTAGCACAATAACATCGTGCTGAGGTTTCAAAAAAAGTTATTCTTAAATAATTCATTAGAAGCATTTCACTTCATTTTTTCCAAAATCTAAATGCGCAGACTAGTTTGTTTCCCAGGTTTAAAGGAACCCAGCACTTAGAAAAGAAAGAAAGAGAGTATTATTTACGTTTTTATGCAGTGCAGCAGTCAGAATGTTGCTTGTCTTCTGGCCTCCTCACAATACTGCCTTGCAACATAACCTCTCCAGGCAGAAGTGACTGGTTTTTCAGATGAAGAAAATAAAGGTTTAGGGATTTTCCTTTTCAAGTTTTACGTCTGGGCCAATAGCTGCAGGTACTGATTGTAGTGTACGTGTGTTCATCCAGTTGAGCGGGTGCAGGCCTGTTTGAAAATCCACTTGGCTTCCACTGACTGCAGCAGAAAACATGGGTCTGAAAAGGTCATAATGTTTAAGTAAACGAATTTAGTGACAGGAATCCTGTTTTGTCAGAGGTTTGGGGATAAATCCTACATGCTGGAAGATACCCATTTACAAAGGACATGGCTCTGCTTTTGTAATAGCTGTGAACCAAACATTAGCTAGCATATGGCAATGCAAGAAAATGCTTAAAATTGTTTCCTCTCTTTCTGTTTCTCCTCTAGCTCTGGGATTGTACACAGTAAATGCCGTATATGGAGATACTATTACTATGCCTTGTCGTCTAGAAGTACCAGATGGACTTATGTTTGGAAAATGGAAATATGTAAGTATAGCTTACCTTTACATTCATTAGAACTGGCATAAGAAGATATGTATTTTTTGTGTGTGAGATTACAAGACTCCAATCGATAGGGTTTCTGCCTCGGATACAAAGACATTCATTCCTGTGTTTGTAAGACTGCAAGATTCCAATCTGCATCATTTCTGCCAAGCATAGATTAGAGGTTTGAGGAATTAATCTCATTGTTCAAGAGAAATAATTACTCAGGAGTTCTCTGCCGACCTGTATTAGAGATCTGGCATGTTACCCAGTGGTGTCTCACTCACTTGACAGAACCGTTGTTGTACGTTTGAATACTTTTGAAGTGGGCTGCCTGAAGCAGGGCGTGCTTCATCCCTGGAAAAGCGCTGTCCCTGGGTCTGGTTGATCTGATAGTCACTCAGTACTGTTTCATGCTTCAGTGTGTTTAATGCACAAGGAAGAAGAGGGCAGAGCTGACCTTGGTAGAGTTGCTGGTGGTTTCACTCCGCCATTTCTGGCATGTGGAGAACAGAGGCAAAAACGCCAGTGCTCTCCTGGTTGTCTCGGTCAGCCTGCAGTAGGAACACCGCAGGATGCGCTTCTCCTATATGTGATTGGTATCCAGTGCCAAAAGGAGAATAAGCGTATCAAAGTCAAATGAAACCTGAAAGCATACCTGGAAGAAACCGCCAGGATGCCAAAACCCTTTTGCTTCTCAGACTGACATCCGGACAACGGGTTTTCCTGCTTCTGTAAAGTTCATCTAAATCTCCTCTGGTGCTCTAACCAAAATGCTACCAGCAATAACGGGTGATATTTACTCTGACAGTGGATTTAAAATTACATAGTTCTCTCTCTCTCTCTCTCTTTTTAAATGGCATCCACCTGCCTATTTTACAGCAGACTGGTCTGCCACTGGGGCGTTTCATAATCCCCCCCAGCTCCTTCCCTTGGACCTGAAAGTTTGCAGCTTTTGCAGCCCTCATCCACTCAAGAGTTCCTGCTCCACAAACGTGTTTTGGGAAATGAAGTCAGAAGTCTGTGGAGGACGTTTCCCTAAAAGGGACAGTGAAACTGTTTCATATAAGCGTTCCGAAGATGCAGGGCCTACGTTTTGCAATGTGCTTTTTAGCCTGCTGACTCTTCTTGGGAAGAAGTCCATCTGTACGAAGATGCAAGGCTATTTTGAGAAAAAGAAATGCATTATCTCTTTCCAGTGCATTTGGATTGCTCATCTCAGACGAGTACCAAGCAGCAAATGGAGATGTTATAGCTTCTCCTAAATGGAAAGGGACATGAAACCTAATGTGCAGAAAAGCCCGTCCAATTGCTATTGTATGAAATTGTTGACATAGCCCGCACAACCAAGTGAAAGTGATACCCATTCTCCCAGGGCAGCTCCCAGCATCGCAACACTTGTTTTTAGCAGGGGGAGGGTTTAGTTCAGGTTTTTTTTGGTTGGGTGATTATTTCATTGGAAGAAGGAGGAACTCCGTTTTCTGCTCTGCTGCCTTGGAATTAGCAATTCAGGTTGCTGGTGGGAGCCCGGGGCCGCTGGGAGGCTTGCACCATGGCAGGAGCAGGTGCTGCTCCCTTTAGCGTCTACCTGTGCGTGCTCGTGCACTGGGTAGGCTTACGGAGTTAAAAGGTCGTTTGCACTTGACAGCCAACTTTGCGTGTATTGAGTCAAGGCAAAGCTTTCTTTCCTGTGTGACAGACATCTGGAGTAATCCGAGAGTTAAAAGGGGGAGAGGAAGAAAGGCTATAAGGGAATTTAAACTTCACATTAGCTGTTGCCTACTGCTCCCTGCCTGGCTCTGACACCACTCATCTCTTGTCACAGCATCGTCATGCTTTTGTGGGCTCTGCAGTCAAGCTGAGGTATTGTGCTGGGAACACTACTCGCATCAGTGCCGCAAGGTGCAAGGGATAAAAGGGAATGAAAACCTTTTCCAGCCCCCAGCACAATACTGAACGTAAAGATGGAGTCAACCTTTCACCTCACTTTATTTAAAGGCAGACAGTGTCTGTCCCCGCTCGGGGGGAGCGGAGGGGTGGGGAGGGAATGAAATTCTGCAGAACTCAGCCTGTAACTTTGTCTCTTATAAAAATAAATTTTTGATATGGTAGGTTCGTGCAAGGCTGTCAACTTTGTATTCTTTCTTAGGATGGCAACTGCATACTTATTAATATAAGGAGGATGTCTAGAAAATGATATCTTGCAGATTATCCTGAGATGCATAAATAACAGTATTTGATTGTATGTATATTCCCATGCCACAAGCTCTTGGGTCCTTTAAAAACAAAACAAAAAGCTAAAAACTAATTTAGAATAAAATAGGAAGTTATGTCTGATTAAATCCTGCATTTGGAATGAAGTCTGAATATTGCAGACAAACAATATGAATATGTAAAACAATCATGAAAGAAAAGGAAACCGAAGCTTTTGAGCCTAGCTCACAAATGCTTCTATTTCAAATACTTTTTCATACACACAGAGGCAGGTGGTGCCAGAACCACCAGCCTTCATCAGAGAAAGCCCTATGCTATGCTGAGATTGAGCCAAGGGACTGAAATTATTTCTACTGATGATATTCTCAATGTGTACCATGGCAGTCTTAAACTAGCTCTCGTATTACACTGAATTTCTTGTTTGTACAGCAGAAATTAATCGGGGAAAAAAGCCATCTGGTGTAGTTTTCAGATTTTTTTAAATTATGGGTTTGTACCAATTGCAGATCTTCAGGAACTTCTAAATGAGTGTTTACACAAAATAGAGGTGTTTATCCTTTTATTATAGGAAATGCCAAATGGATCTCCAGTATTTATTGCCTTCAGATCATCAACAAAAAAAAATGTACAATATGATGATGTACCAGACTACAAAGACAGGTTGAGTCTCTCGGAAAACTACACATTATCCATCAAGAATGCAAGAATCAGTGATGAAAAGAGATTTGTATGTATGCTAGTTACAGAAGATGATGTTTCTGAAGAGCCAACGATAGTCAAAGTCTTCAGTAAGTAAATCTAGTTGTTACTACTGTTAACGTTCATCAGCATCTGAATCGTAAATTATGGAAAATTTTGTTTAAGGGAAAGATTAAAGCCAAGAAAGTAAGTTTGGCTGAGTAAATTACTAAGACTAGCAAATTTCTGCAGCTTTCAAAAATGTAATCTACTGGTGGCATTTACATAACAGGACTGCCTGCACTTGCAGTTTATTCATGATAAGTGCTGGCTCAAAGAGAATTTTAGGCTTTGATAATGACTCACTTATGTGATGTCATTTGGCCTTGGAAATGAAAAATGTAAAATTAGCACTGATTATTTTCCATTTGTTCTCCGAGCAAATTTTTCTGCAGGAGGGAAGCATTAACTGTGTGCAGTCTGCAGGATTAGATCAGTGGAGAGGTTTAAACCAGCTCCGGGCAGCTAGTATGCAACGGTATGAACTGTGAGTGAGCGAGTGAGAGGCTGGAAAACAAGTTGCTAGCCCCAAGGCTTATTTTGTCCCCGGCTGAACTATCAGGAGGAAGACCAGTCTGCAGTTCCATTTTAGAGCACAGCAGAGTTTATTAGCGTTTGATATCGCTACAAACTGATTGCAAGGCTGATCCACAGTGTGAACCCCAGCGCTCTGAGGCGCAGTCCTGCTCTGAGCTTGCACAAGAGCGTGGACAAACCTGGCCTCTTCCTGGTGCTGATTCAGAGCAGACGTATAATCCCTCAAACCCTGACTCAGCTTGTGGAGGCGTCCGTTACTCCTTTTTAGGGGCGCAGGTCTGCAGAGGCTAAGGTTAGTGTTTGTAAATGCTGCCCTGTGACTGCGGTGGGTATCTTCCTCAGCTTTGGGTTTTCATATGGCTTTTTTTGGCCTTTGTTGCTCTTCAGATGCAGATTCACACAGTCAGAGTCAGTCTCTGTTGTGGGAACGCATTGCTTGCAGGGATGGGCAGTTTCAAACATCACACTTTTGCTTGAAAAACATGAATTCATGTTTTGGAAGGGCACCCTTACTCTTCTCTCAGGGAGAAGGTGTCAGGGAGTTGTCGGTGGTGTCTAGGTAGAAGTTTGTCAGTGGCATGAATGAGTTTGAAGCTACATTAGGAGTCAACAGTAATTCCTTTCCCTCATTTCACTTTCAGTTTGACTGCAAGAACAATCGAATTAATGACAACAGGGAGGAGTGTGCTCAGAGCATGCATAGTAAACACAGCGCTTCAAAGGAAATGATAAAGAATTATGTTTATTTATCGCACAGCAGTAAATAATGTAGATGAGAGTGGTATATGGTGAAACAAAATGCTAACTGCTTGAATTACTGTGTACTATACTAAATATTAACACAATGCTAACTCAGCCATGGAGCACAGCTTGTGTGTTTTATTGTATGCATTAATACTAATAGAGAAAGCTTCTGTTTACTAAGGAAGATAAGAATAGAGGATGCCATGCATGTAATATGGCCGACTTAGCACTGCAAGAAAAAATTACCTTTGCAGCTTTTCATTGTAAGTTCACAACTTTATTTAGGGTTCTCTTAACTCTTCTTTGCATTTAACTTCCTTGAGTCTGGTTTTGGGGGTTTCATTTTTTGTGCTTGCTTGCTTGCTTGCTTGTTCTCATTACGAAAGAGTTGAGTAGACTGCAAGCTTCATTTATTCGACCGGTGGAGTTTCTAACTCGTTGAATCACAGATACAGCACTAGGCTGCAGCAGTGCGAACCCTCATAAACCAGAAGTCTTGTGTACCTGAAACTCAGCTGTATCCCAGAAGCCCTGACTGAAGCTGGGCTTCACTGGAGCTTGTCACGTCCTCAGCTGTGCTACCTGATTAACTCAGAACTAACGAGCTGAAATGGCTCATTGCACAGGTACCACCTGCTAGTCTCACTCACCGGACTACTCAAACAAGCTCTACCAGCTTTCCAGATGGATCCTGTCAGCATCTTTTTTCTGGAATTCAACGGCCGGTTTCCAAAGCAGGGCAGCCTAGCACACATGAGCTGCTGTCCTGCTACACCAGTGCTTGGCTTTTGCAGGCAGTGAGCTCTTTTGCCCCCTATTATTGGGCCTATATAGAGTTGCAAAGTACTCTGGCAAGCTCTTAAGCCGAGAGATAAGCAGCGTGCTGAAGTTGCAAACCCACCAAAGTGGGCTCTGCTGTTGCCAAGTTTAAAATTTCTTCTCGCTTCAGACGCTGAGCTAGTGAATGCCAAATAAGTCTTTTATAGTGAATTACCTTGGTGCGCACGCTGTGGCTGTGGGGATCTGGCAGCAGGTGTGTCCTTTCGGAGGCTGCTCTGAGAGAGCAGGTGGCGGCCTCTCAACTGGAGCATCTGCTCTGTCACCAGAGCACTCAAAACAGGGAGAGCCATACAGGGGCATACGGAGCAGGAGGTCCTCCCCTTCCCTCGGTAGGAGCGTTGTGGGGTGGGTCCAAAGCACAGAGTAAGTCTTCCTGAACTGCTCCTGGGGGACACGAGATGAAAGGAGGCAAAGCTGAGGTGGGGGAAGGTGGTGTGGTTTGTGGTTTAATCAACTGGTGACTGTGACAGGCAGCCAACTATACCTGTTTATGGGACCCGAAAATCTGAACCAGAAGGCCTGTTAATGGTCTTGTAAAACCTAATTTGCTTGAACTGACAGGAAAATGCTTTGTCCTTGACAGGTTCTTACAGAAAATAGGTTAACCTTTTTCCTTTAAAACTAACAAAAGAGAATTAAACATGCACATATTTAAAAAAAAAAAAATTGTTAGCCCTTTGAAGAAATTGTGATGGTCTTGGTATATAGCTTTGACTGTTTTGTTTGTTTTTTGGTTTTTTGCCACAAGCAAAGTTGTTTGAAAATGTCAAATGAACAGCTTCTTTTATTGCCTTTCATTTCCCTTTTGTGCTGTTGTTCTTGCTCCATCCTGGCAAAGAGTATCTGTACGTTTGTGTGCACACAAACACATGCACACAGAATGAATGGATTATTGTGGAAACACGTTGGCTTGCTATCTTTGTGACAGCAGGAGCAATACACCTGCACATCAGTAACTTCATCAGTGTGCTGAGATTTTGGCAAGATGGTGTGAAGTTCACTTTGGGCTGCGATTACTGATATACATACGTTATTTCATAGGGAGCTTGGTTTGGGAAAAAGGTTCTGTAAGCTGGCATGGTTAAGAATGTTTCAGTCTGTGAAAGTATATAATGCGTGGGCTTATTTAAGCAGTATAGCTAGGGTGCAGAGGCTTTCTTCAAATGTATAAACATTGATTCCCCCCCCCCCTTTTAAAATTGTGAGGAAAACTGTCTCTTTTGGAGATAAAAATTTGCATTCTGGGCTTCAGGCCAAACTATTTTAACTGACAAGTTATATAGTCTCCAGAAAGTAGTTTTTTATGATGGAAATGCTGATAGATCCTCCACTTTGGCAAGCTAAGAGGTCCATCTACCATAATAAAAGTAAATAAGAAGACATACTGGCACTGAAGAAAAAGTTTATTTTTTTTAGGAGAGTCATAACTGACTCAGAATCAGTTAAAGTAATTACACTTATCTCTATCATCTAAATTTCTTAAATGTAACAATCCCAGTTAGGAAAAATAAACATTAGACGAATGATTAGGTTGAATTTGTTCCCTTATAACGTGACAGCTCAGCTACAGTAATATCCACAGTAAAGCTGCTTTTCTGTTGCTATAGTTTCTGTACCACTGGTTCCTTCTCCAGCATGTGTATCATATAAATCAGACAGAGCAGATCAGGTTCTCTCCTCCCAGGTGCAGAACTAGTCTGCCTGGCTAAAATATACATTGTCAGAATGCATGGAATTCATTATGGAAAGTATGACACGTTTTAAGGTGATGGTTCTTCCTTCTCAATCCATTTGCGAATATTGACGTAGAAGTATCTCACTTTTTCTTCTTTAAATGGCAAAGTGTAGGTAAGGATATACCAGACCAGATTGTTCTATTTAGCCTCAAAGTCTATGTATCTTTTAGTAACTTTTTGTTTTTCAAACAGCTGTTTGTGCTCCCTTCACTAGTACTTTTATCCTATTTATATTTTAGAACAACCCTCTCAACCAGAAATCTTACATCAAGCAGACTTCTTAGAAACAGAGAAGCTACAAATGGTAAGAGCAGCGTTCTCCCTCAAAGTTATGTGCCTGACGGCTGCCTGAAGTCCCTTTGCAGTCAAGACGGAGAGAGGTGATGGGCTGAGGCTCAGAGAGGGTGCGTGTGTGTGCGTTTGTGCGCGCACACCTGCTTGTGAGAGATTGTGGCCAGGCTGAGCACAGAGTAGTTCCCTCGCCATTACTGTATTAGCCCTGCCTGATTCTGCAAGCAGGGGACATCCTGATTTTAGACTCACCACCGAACCCTCTTCTAAATTGTACTTAAGCCTCACTGATGGGATTTGTCCTATTCAAGAAAAATGGTTGGAGTTAAACATTTGAACTTTCTAGAAGTTTTTACCAAAGCAGCATAAGCAAAAATAGAATTATATTAAAACGTAGTGGAGAAAACCAGCGAATAATTCCTCTGTTTTGCAGCTCGGGGAGTGCGTCACACGAGATAGTTATCCCGAAGGCAATGTTACGTGGTACAAAAACGGGAGAGTTTTGCAGCCTGTGGAAGAAGGTACGTTTCAATAATGGCCAATGTCTCTGAATCCACAGAGAGGTGCATGTATGAAGAACTGTTTTTATAAGAGTTGCTCTGCTTTAGTCTAACGTATTGTTCCTTTGAGGAAGACTACTCATACGGAAGGATGAAGCTGAAAGGAAACCTCTAGGCCTTTCAGAGCACCCAAGCTACGCCATATAATACCTCTCTTTCAGTTCCAGCTTTAAAACCACATCATGCGGCGGAGGGTTGCTTTTGTTAATGCTATTGCAAAGTTATTCTTGAGCCTATGTAGCTAGTAGAAACCTGTATCTAATACCCAACTTCTTACAAGGTATTAACTGTCTCAGTTTCACACCCGTCCAGTATTGTGTTTTAGACCATGTAGATCATAGTCTCCTTATACAGGTATTTACTCTCCAGGATATTTAGGAAGAATATTTCCTTCCCACCCCACCCTCCCTTTCAACTTTGATTTTGACAGGCTGATCAGACCACAATATTTTATGTTCCATAAAACAGAGAATGCTTACAAAATTAAGTTATAAATGTGTATAAAATTGTTTTTGCCAGCGTTTTGAGGTCTTCTTTCTGGCTTACAAAGTAAGCTGAGATTTATAGTAAAAAAACAAAAACTGACCAGTTTCCAATGAGTTTTTTGTTTTGATTTGATTTAAAATGTACGGTATGTTAGGAGTATGTTGTTGATAAAATGTTCCTGGTATACGTCAGTGGCAATACTGGAGGAAAACTGCTTGTACAGTCTCTTGGGTAATTTGTCATGTTGCTTGCATGTTAGCAGCCTGATAACGAATACAGAGCAGGCAACAAAATGTAGGAAAAAGGTTGCAAATTCTGTCTGTGTGACACTGAAACAGTATTTTCTTTTCAGTTGTGGTCATAAATTTGCAAAAGATTGTGGACAAATCAACTGGACTCTTCACCATGACATCATCTCTTCAGTACGTGCCAACAAAGGAAGATGCAAATGCCAAGTTTTCTTGCATTGTGACATATTATGGACCATCTGGCCAGAAAACAATACAGTCTAAACCAGTTGTCTTCGATGTTCACTGTAAGTTATTAAAAAGCATCTATTGCTATACAAAGTCTACCTCGTGGGGAAAAAGCAAAATCAGAGACAGTTTACAAAATTACAGAGACGTTGCTGCTTGGCTGTCGAGACAGTTTCTTCAAAGCTGGTTTGCAGCAAGAAGGGCCGAGTACATTGTCTGTGTAATTTTTACTTATCTTCAGATTTACCTGAGAATTCTTCCTTTCTAACAGTAGAATACTGACTATCAAGATTGCATTGACAAGAGGAAAGTGGTAACCACAAAAAGTTACAGTGAAATGGGCTTTTCAGAACTTTAACAGAAGTTAGAGTGGTTGATTAGAGTCACTGCCTGTGCCCCCTGAAATATGCAATAAATACACAATATAGTTTTTAGTGGACTCAAATGTTTTTCATTTTTGCAGAGTCAGCACCAAACAGCTAATATTGGCAGACTACCTTGCACAAAATGCAGTGGCTTCTCCACAGCTGTAAGATGCTGATTTTTACATTTAAAATGTATCATTTGAATATTGGTAGACTTTTAAGTAGAGAATTTGTGTAAATCATTACTTCTAGCTGGCCTGTGTCCTGAAGCAACTCCCTTACTGTGTTACTGACTGATGTGGGAATCATAATTTTCCTTTGAATAAAGTCAGTTGGCAAGGAAAGGTCAGAGGGGGTGGTAGCAGTTAGAAAGGAGGGAAGAGGTGTTTCATTGTAAAATGACACTTCTAAAGGACTGTAGAAGACAGCAGGATGAAGAAGAACAGAAGATATGCAAGATGTCCAGTCAGGTGTTATCTTTCTGTACACTTCAGGTGATACCTCAGCTTATAAAAGAGAAGTCCCTGTTTTGGGAATGATAGGGTCTAAGTATACAGTCCAGACATCTAATTGGGTCTTAGTATACATTGTGTGACAACTCTGTAATCCAGCTGAATACAAAGAAAATTAGTAAGGCACTGGATTTCTCCAGCTAGCAGGTGTGCTCCATTGCCTTGAAAACAAAAGCTACAGGCTTGAAGTGGCAGGGTATGTTCTACCTAGATGATTGGTTGCTTCTCCTTCATGGGTAACATTTGTTGAGGAGCAGAGTAGGGGATCTGTTTCGAACTTGGTCAAATCAAATCAAACCTTGGAGCAGTTGCTCCTTGTTTTCACCTGGAGAAGCCGGAGTATAAATTAAGGCCTTATTTTCACCAGCTGTTTCTCCAGAATGACAACCAGCAGAACTAATGGAGGAGAAAACCTCTGGGACAGTAACCATTATCCTTGGAAATAACACAAAGATTTCAAGCCTGCAGACACCTAGCCCATCACTTTAAAGCTAGAGTGACCCAAACTTTTGGGTTTGCTTTAAAGTTGGGTACCAAATTTCAGTGGAGTTTTTTTTCTGTTGTCTGTGGAGCCCCATGACCGTGAATAACTCCTGCTGTGAATGCAGGTGTTCACAGTAGTGTCACAGAAGTGTAATGACCAGAAAGCACTTGTTGCTGTTACTTGCCAAGAGATGCTCTGCTGTCCCCATTTTCCCACCGCTTTCATGCGTTAGGCTGCTTCACCTGTTGACGATGAGGCTCTTGCGGATTTCTGTGATGCATGTACTCTGTGCGCGTGCAATTAAGAACTACTCAACGTGAAGGAAAAAGAAGGCTGCACAGCACTGCAGAATAGTCACTGCGCCAGATACCACGTACACTCCGTGTTAAAGACTTAATGTTTGCTAGACTAGCTCTTTTAATCCTGGTCTAGTAACACACAGTTTAATTAAGACAGTTCATCCTCCAGAGATGGACAGTATCATTGTACTGCTAATTAGCCAGCAGTAGGAGGCAGGCACACCCTTCAGTACCCCTTCAGTACTGAAGAGGCCTCAAGTATCAACTTTGTTTGGCTTTAGAGTATGGGGTTACCCAATTTCCTTTCTGAGTATTTTCATTTGCTGTAACTTCAATTCCTTACTCTGCTCAAATGCATCTCCAAATGAATTTTTGAAGCTCTTTATTAATAGATGTCCAAAGCTTCAACAGATGGATTTCTTGACTGATGTTAACTGATGATAATGACATGTCTGATTTGTTTTTGTTTTTTAATTTGGTTCAGTGATCCTAATTAGTTTCTTTCTAAATAAATGTGATTTTTTTTTTTTAATGAGTCAAATGTAATGCAGATGAAAAAAAAATGGCAGACTCCAACTCTAAGAAATGGAAGTCTTTCAGCCTTTTTTTTCAGATTGGCTGTCAAAACTATTATGTTTTGCATCTCTGAAACAAGTAGGAAAAAATCATAAAGACGACCTGCTCTTCATTCTGGTATTTAGCGTGATTCCTTGCAACTTACCCATTTATCATAAAGAAATGGGGAGAGCATGCTTAAAACGATGCCTGCATAGGAGTTCTTTTAAAGACCTGTTCAGTCAGGATTTGAGAAATGTTTTACTGGGTTTTTTTAGCTCTGGGTTAGTGCAGTCTCTAGTACTTAAGTGTTTAATAGCTAATTGGCATCCTGGAAGCAACCAGCCACTGTAACATAGTGTAAGAAGAGTGAATTAGCTCCTGCCGAGCTGGGTGCTAGTTGGAAATGGATAACTTAGCTCAGCTAGCAGTAGTTATCAGCACTTAACTGTGGGCTCTGGTTTGCAGCTGTGTAGCAAGCAAGCTACCGAAAGCAACATGAGTAATACAAGAGAACTCCGGGAGCTGGATGGTTAGATGGTATCTCAGATATCTAAATTATCTAGACTCCAGTTGTGTTGGGCTCTGCTCAGCGTTAATCAGTATGAAAAGATAATGTTTGTCAGGCAAACTTTCCAGTCATGCCCTGTTGTTAAGTGTCTGTCTTGACTCAAAGGCACTTTATACTCATGCTGCTTCCAGCATTGGTAGTTTTCTTGAAATTGTGCGGAATGATGTCAGTTGTGGCCATGGCGAGTCTGGAATAGCAGCATTCGTCTACTAAATAACTGCCTTTTGGTGCAGAATTTTGCTCTTGCAGAAAGTGGATACAAAGTCTCAGGTTTACAAAAGCACAAGGTAAGATGGGCCAAGCCAGGTATATGTGCCACTAAGAGGCAAGATATACCTTCACCAGGCTGCTCCTGCTTATTAGCGAAAGCAGGGGAGCACATTACTCATGCTAAGCAGCACTCAGCATTGCACTGAACACTGTCTTCCAGTCATCAGGTTCTGTCTTCGTCAGAAGGGTGACCTGTTCAGCTTAGAGAACAATTTAATTAGTCATTTGCTATTTACTTCTGTAGATTTATTTTTCTTTTCCAGTTTAGAGAATGAAATTAAAAATTTTCTCCTGGTTGATTGCAGTAGACAGAAGGGTAAGATATTCCTACAGGAAAGTCTGGTGGTTTGCAAGAGTGTCATTCTTGTTTAATTGTGTCCATTTTTAATCCAGTTCTGTTCATCTCTGTGGAAAAACTTGTTCCAAATTAAAGTCCTAAAGTCTTTCTCATTATAATTGATCCCTTTTCAGTCTTGAGACAAAGCCTAAACGATTCCAGGGTATATCTAGACATCCTTTATGATAACTTTTTCGCATTCGGTCACCTTCACATAAACTTGACAAGCTCCTGCAGCAGGCTAGCTCACCAGACAGCCCCCTGAAACTGGGTTTTTGGCCCAGCAGCCACCAAGAGGCGTGCATGTAATTCCTGGCCAGCTACTTCATCGCATCTGTTGTATTTCACACCAGCAGCGATCCTGGACTTCCCTTTCCTAAGCAGGCAGAGTTGCGCTTCAGCTCTGAAGGTACTGAGCTGGAAGCTGTTCGGACGTGGAAGGGAGCTGAGGCTATTGCACCTGAAGGAGGATGGATGTGGCTTGTTGAAACCTGGTACCACCACTCCTATGAGAAGTGAGAAGCCGTGTCAGGGCTTTCAGTCATTGAGAGGCCACAGCAGAATGCAGCTCCTGTTACTGAGAAATCCCATAGCAGAAGACAGACATGATGAATGCCTTAAGGGTCAGAAGGGCTGTAGAGCACATGCTTCACTAAACACTCAAAATCAACTGTCAGGCAAGGGTTTCTCTGTTGTGTAGATTTTTTTTTTTTTTTTTTTTTAGTATCTAATAAGGTGCACTGTACTGTGTCTTAATGCAAGACTGGCATCTTCGGTAGAATTTTATTTATTCATTGAAATTAAAACAATGAGAGTTATCTGCCTATATTATTTCCTTTAATTTTGTTCATTTTACTTTGTTTTTGAAAAATTATACTTAGGCTTCTACTTAGAAAGAATAGCATCTATTAAAGTATACTCTGTCTTCGCCTTAAAAAAAATTACGAAAGTAAAATGTAAGTTATAGTTCAACTTCACTGAACGTGACAGAAGTATGTTACATTTACAGTTCTGTTGACTATGTTAAGGGTCCTATTATGTTCACCAAACTGATCTTTCTGAAAGCCTGTAGTGATCAGCATATTGAATAGGCTGAACATAGTCGCTTAGTTCATATTTCTTTCTTTTTAATGCAAGAAAGCTATTATCCTAGTACGAACGCAAGGCGTTGAGAGCTTCAGTTGTTTTTCCGATTGCTGCAGTCCTCCAAACAGCGAGCTTCACAGAGGACAAGTTAATCCCTCATAATGAAATCACACCATGAAACTGCTCATACTGATCAGGCTTTTTTTCTTTTAAGCACATGACATGTTTGTAATAATTGCTGTTTCAGTTACAGGTATTTTGGTGAAGAAAAATTTCGTATCATCTGGCTGCTTTGCACTTCATTTGCAAAAATATAGGAAGTGTGATTAACTTCAGTTCTTTTATAAAAAGATCTACACATGCAAATACCTTCACCTGCTTGATGATAAAATTACATAGTCTTCGGCCATGAATATCATATGCATAGTGTTACTGTGTGGTTTTTTGCAGAAGCTATTAAATGTGTACATTATTTTCACAGATCCAACAGAGAAGGTGACTATTCAAGTGCTGTCACAAAGTAGTACCGTTAAAGAAGGCGATAACATCACTCTGAAGTGCTCAGGAAATGGCAACCCTCCTCCACAGGAGTTTCTGTTTTACATTCCAGTAAGTCCTGCCTTGCTGTCACTGCGTAGTGAAATATTCTGTATCATCCCTTCCTACAGACATTGCTATGTGTCAGTGTATACGTGATTTTATAACAAATGAAGGAAGGAATTTGATGCGACTAAAACTGAAGAGAGACATTGGCCATTACATCAGACTCTCTGAGAACGCCTCATTGGCAAAATATTTTGAAAGAACCTCTCCTTCCCCCCACCCCACCTGAACTTTTCTGGGGTTTGGACCTACTAAAAATTGTTAGGCTTCATTTCCCAACATGAGATATTTTGATAAGAAGCAGTTTTGACAAAAGGGGTTTAGCACCTTGAATAAAATCACCTCACCTTCGGTCATAACAGCCAAAGATCCAGCAGTGAAAGTACAGGAAACTGATTCAGCTTTTTTTGGACTTTCACAGATGAATCTTTGTGCAATGTCTTTTAATTAATTAATTGTTTGGTGGCATAACAACACAAAAAAAGAACCAGTGCGACAGTGCAAGAGAAAGCGTAGGACAAATCTGTCAAATGCATAAGATGCAAATTGAGAAAAATAAAGGCTTTGGTTCCATTAATCTTCTTAGTATTGGTGAAATCCACAGACGGATGTGGCTTTATATTCTGAGATTCCTAGTCTTGCTTCCCGTGTCCTGCTTCTCTCTCTATTTTATACCCCTTTTTTTTGTTCCTACTGCAGTAGTGAGCAGAGCTGATCTTGAGAGAGGCCAAAAGCAGTGGCATGCTTTCAGGTATTTCAAAAACTGCATGTCACCCTTTAAACGTAATCCTCGTCTACTTTGGACTCCTGGCGTGTTTGAATTGCTGAAGAGCAGCAGGGGAAACTAGGAGCTGAAGTCCTCTTATCTCAGAACAGCCATTTTAGGTTCAGTGAGTCACCCTAGGAACTCACTATATGCCAGGGAAAAGTGTGTGGTATCTCTCCTTGTTCCAGGATCACAGTGAGCGAGCTAAACACCCCAGATTGTCTTATCTTCAGTTTCCCTGCTACCTGATACTAGTCCTTTCTCTCAAGGAGAGCTGGAATTGCTGGTTTCTTTGCAAGACCTAGGGATATTGTGACAAACCTGGTAAATCTCTTTCTGGATTCAGAGATACGAAATAGGGTATCATTCTATGCTCGTTTCAAAGGCGACCTAAATGAGTCAGTTGTAATCAGGTGGGAACTGGACAGCCAGAAAGCAACATTTTCTGGCTAATTCAGAACACCAGTTTCTGTAGGTAACTGCACATGAGTCAGTGTATACCCTTACAGGCTCCGTACCATGATATGGATAGAGCAAGGTTTGCTCGTGCTGTTTAAAAATGTGTAATGCAGCACAATTCATTTCATGATTTTTCCTAAACTGAGTATATCTTTTGAGATACAGATTTAGAAACACAATTTGTTTTGCTGTTGTGATTTCTCTAACATTCTTATTTGTAGACTGTTTCAGTCTTTTGTTTTCTTCCCATTTTCTTTCTGCTAAACTTTCAGATTTTATACTTCAATGTCCTCTTAAGATAAGTTAGTCATTCAATTAAAAAGTAAGCTTTTAATTGTAGGTGTTTTCTAAAACCATGCTGTCATGCAGGAAATAAACCTTAACATTATTAGTAGGCAACTACACTTCAGTGATGCTGCGTCTTTACATATTTTGGAGTATTTCAGGATCCTTATAATAATAAAAAACCTCAACAAAAATGCATGTTTTTAGCAGGCCCATATACAATAAATGTTTTGTTTTCCATCCACAGGGAGAAGCAGAAGGTATAAGAAGCTCGGATACTTACATAATGACAGATGTGAGGCGAAATGCAACAGGAGAATACAAGTGCGCTCTGACTGACAAAAGCATGATGGATTCAACGACCATCACTGTGCACTGTAAGTCATTGCATTTTGCACTCCTAGTTAGGATACAGAACTATCTTGCACCTTCTGGGATGGTCTTTCTCTCCTTTGCTTAGGTAGATTAGTCCAGTTAACCTACAGGAGAATGAATGATGTGGTTGGTTTAGTGTCAGGGCTTTTTTTTATTTATTTTTATTTATTTTTTCTAATGTATTTCTGTTTGAAAACCTTAACTTTCCCAATTCATTGGCTTAGATACAGATTCACTTTATGTAACCTCTGTATAGTAGATTATATTCTAGTCCAGTAACCTACAGGAGAATGAATGATGGTTTAGTGTCAGGTCTTTTTTTTTATTTATTTTTATTTATTTTTTCTAATGTATTTCTGTTTGAAAACCTTAACTTTCCCAATTCATTGGCTTAGATACAGATTCACTTTATGTAACCTCTGTATAGTAGATTATATTCTTGCACTGTCACATACAGTGAAAATTCTGATATTTTATGTTTCACTCATGTGAACATATATATATGGCAAATTATTGTGCTCCAGCTGTGCCTTACAATGTAGCCAAACACACAAGCTGGCCCACACTGGTATCACTGAAGGTCATTCTTCATAGTCAAATTCACATTAGTCTAATATCCTTTCATCTTATCTCAGTGAGGTTAACATGTAAGGAGTCTAGAGAAGAGACTTAGGAATGCATTATGTTCACATAGGACAAGCTGCTTTTTTCACTTTTCCCAGAATGAGGAGAGCTACAGAGCTCAGTGAAGTTTCTTTAGCTGGATGCTGGAGTATTTACTCACACTTTATCAGCACCACTTTAAAAGCAGCCATTGAACTCGTTGAACCATTGAAGCAATGGTTGCTTTTCAATGGTTGCTTTTAATCTCTTTATGTGAGAAAACAAGAGCAGGAACTCTTTCAAACTTTGCTGTACTATCACAGGCTGTGAAATGAGACTCAGTCCCATGGTACTAGGTTTCCCCTAGAAACATTGATGGTCTGTAGTCTTCCCAGTAGCACAAATACCTTTGTTTACAGGTTCAGAGGGACATGATGGATAATGAAGTTTAAAGGCTTCCAGAGTAGTTATACTTTACATAAAAAGAAACTTCATGTTTGTATACTTGGTTCTGATTTTTTTTTTTTTGGAAGAGGTACAATGCATGCAGAATGTATCTGTACATTAATAATTACGATATTCCATTTAATGGATATGTTGCATTTAATAAGGTCATCTGCTGTTTTCCTACCCACCCCTTCTCTTTGCCAAGAGTCAGGGTACGTAAGATCTGAAGAGAGCTCCGTAGTACTGCCGCTAGCTGCCCAATATCAAAGGTAGCTTGCTGGTAGTTTGCTGTGGTATAACTGACCCTTTTATTTTACTCCAAGTGGATTGCATGTCTACTTGTACTTCCATAAATAGTTACTCTAAAGAATGGCTTCTTCAGCTCCAAGTTATTTATAACAAGCCAGTTTTCCTTTCTCTGCTATTTTGTCTGCATGTCAGAAGAGCTTTACTACACAAGAGAAGTATGTATTTTCTTGACAGAAGTCTTTCCAGTGTTGGCAGCTAGTGCAGCTACTCAGAACTCGTAGGTACAATCTAGTATCCTACTGCTTCGCTTCACTTAGGGTTCGTTTCGTTTTGTTTTTCTTAAAGACCTCTATCTGCCATAAAGCCTTTGCTTAGTGAGGAGCAGTGGCCTGGAGTAGTTCTGTAACTTTCTGAATGCCCAGACCTTTGTAGCTGTGTGACAATCTGTCTTAAAGCTACTTTGGTGTCTTGTCCTATGCTGGTCTAAAGCATTTCTGCAGCATGTTTTCTAGTGAGGGGGACTTCTCTGAAAAAGTCATAAAATCCGTAGATACTTTGTAATATCCTTCTCCATCTGTTAATTGCTTACTTTATATTAATTTTCCAGCATAACTCCCTAATTTTTAGTGCTTTCTGATTCTAATGTACTTACATATTTTTGTTGTTAGATCTTCAGATTTTTTTTATGCCTCCATGGTGTTTTTTCTCCTTCAAACAATACTTATTAACACCTATCAAATCCTACTTTTTCCTCTCTCTTTTCCTTTATTGCTTACCTTTTCACATATGGATGAATATTGCTGTCTATGGCGTTACACTGAAAAAGCCTTCATTCTGAGTCAGGGCTTTTTGTTTCCTCACATCCAACCTTGGCACTTTAGATTTTTTTATTTTCACTTAAAAAAAAAAAGAAACCACAACAAAAACCAGGCAATATAATAATTTTAGTATAAATCTGTGAATCTACTTACAGTAATTTGTAACATTTCAACTGTAGTGTTTTTTCCCAAACAGGTTTTATTGAGCATTATAATTACACTGGTTCCTTTCA